AGACCATACTCACAAGTGAAATAAGTCAAACTCATATGTATAAATACCAGTCTCCCTAGTGTAAGAAATGATAATACATAAAAGTATGTGGTAATCATGATTCCCCATTATATTGCTTTGAAGCCTTATAATGGCTTCATTCATTAATTGGAATGGTTTTATTCTGGGGTATTTGATTTTACTGTCTGTGAGGGCATGAACAGCTATTTTGAAGAAAACAAGACATTATAATAGCTACTGCTGATTTAATATCTTATTTTGAAGTCCCATCAAGCTTTTGTTCTTCAGTCTCCATCGGTCTTATCATGTTTTGTCTTATTGGATTTTATTATATGTGATGGTACAAACAAAAATTTTTATAGACAAGGAGATAATATAAAAACCATTGTTTGTTTTCTGTTAGTTGGTTCTGAATATCCTGTAATACTTTCCTTCTCTTGAATGGTTTTACAGTGTCTTAATATATTTGATGTTATAGTATACAAAGTTATACTCAAATATTTCAAGGAAAGATACAATATGGTAATTACTGTTATGTCAGGTTATCTTGTAGTGAAACACTATGTTGCTTAAATTGTTCTGATCTGTGTTGTTGTGTTATGTCCTCTTTTATCTCAATCTCCTTTATTTTTTTTAATTAAGGGAAAAAATAAATTAAAAATAGCAGGATATATTATAGCAACCATTTTGATTTCCTATTAACTTGATTTGAAGCCCTGTATTGCTATCACCATCTTGTTTTGACTGATTTTACTCTATTCTGTTTTGTTTGATAGTATCAAGTTTGAGGGTATAGGCAACTACTTTGAAGACAATAAGATTCACTATGATGCCCATTCTGGTTTGAATATTATCTTCTTTTGAAGCCCTGTAATGTCTCCAGTGTTTCGGTTTTATTGGTTTTTTTCTGTACTGTTTTGTTCAATTTTATTATAACTGATGATTTAGGCAATTCTTTTTAGGATAGCAAGAGGCATTATGGCAACCATTGTTGATCACCTTGTATTCTGTTTTTACATCATGTACTATGTCCAACCTTTTGTTTTGACTGACTCTGTTTTGTTCTGTCACATTTGGTTTTATTATCTTCAAAAAAAAAGTAATAAGAACTGTGGGAATAATAAAACACAAAATGTGTAATTGTTATTGTAAAAAAGAGAGGAAAGAAAGTGCTCTAAAGGATATAACTTCATGTATATTTAAGTGTGTAAGATAGATAACCATACTACTAAGTTTTTGTTGGATTGTTGAACAGAACTGTTTGCAGTCTCACTGTTTGAATGTCCACTTTGTATGCTTTAATTTTGTAACTTGAACAACTATTTCTAAGATGACAATATGTAATCTGTTAACTAGTGATTTCTTACTGTTTATTTTTTTGAAATTCTGTATTACTTGTATCCTTTTTCTGTTTTGTTTTTTCTCTTTAAATAAAATTTAAAAAGCATAGAGTACAAGGGAGCTCTCTGAATAGGTGGTGTTATTTCTTCTTGTAGGTGGTGTTTATACACACATATATGTTTGTGAAAATCATTCAACAGAACACTTAAATTTTATTCACTTTATGCTAATTATACCTCAATAATAGTAAAACAAAAACTACTCTTAAAAACAACTTTTATATAATTGACTCTTTTTTTAGTATGTGTTTATAGTACATAATGTACATTTATAGTATATTTATCAAAAGGGAGTTTGTACATACACATAAAACATATTAATTCTTTTTTCCCTTCCCTTCCTACCCTTCCCTGTTCCCTCCAACTTTTGTCCTCTGCACAATTTTCAAAAGCTCTATTTCTATTTTTTCCTTCAGTTCCCTCTTTTTATCACTGTAGCTTTATAATATAACTTGACATTCAGAATTATTGTGCATCCTCCTTTGCATTTGTTGTCCAGGATTGCTTTTGCTACTTTGGATTCTGCTTGTTCCATATTAGTTTTAGGGTTGTTTTCCTAGTTCTGGGGGAATGTTATTAGTATTTTTATTGCAATTGCATGAAATCTATGTATCACTTTGGAATTATGGCTATTTTGACAATATCAATTCTACCTACCCAGGAGCACTGCCTTTTTTCCATTTTCTGATGTCATCTTCAGTCTCACTTTTCAGAGTTGGTGTAGTTTTTGTTGTAGATATTTTTCATTTCCTTGATTAGGTTAATTCCTAAATATTTAAAATTTGGGGTCTTGGGGTATAGATAATCATGTCATATATACATACACACATATATATTATACATATTTACATATATTATATATACATATATAATGTAAATGTATGTTTAATTTCTTTCTCTTTCCTGATTGCTCTGGCTAATGTTTCAAGTACTATATCGTATAGAATGTTGGTAGTGAACATCTTTGTCTTGCTCCTGATTTTAGAAGGAAAACTTTCAGCTTTGTCTCATTCAATATGATGTTGGTGGTAGCTTGATCATACATATATTTATTAGGTTAAAATAGGCTCTTTTATACTTATTATAGTCAGGGATTTATCATGAATGGGTGTTAGACTGTCAAAGAATTTTTTCTGCATCTATTGAGATGATCATGTGATTTTTAGTCTTCTTCTGTTTATGTGATATATTGTATTTATTGATCTGCACATGTTGAACCACCTTGGCATTCTTGGGATGAATCTTACTGGTTGGGATATATGATCTTTCTAATGATTCATTGTATTGTTTGCCAGTGTCTTGTTGAGTGTTTCTGTGTGTATATTCTTTCATTAAAGAGACTGGCCTGTATTCTTTTCAGTTGGGTCCTTGTCTGGTTTTGTGATCAGGTAATACTATTTTTCACAAATGGTTTTGGAAGAATTTTTTTCCTTTCAATTTCATTAAGTAGTTTGAAGAGTATTAGTGTTACATCTTCCCTGAAGTTCTCATAGAATTCTGTTGTGAATCCATCATATCCAGGGCTTTTCTTAGTTGGTAATTTTTTTTTATTACTGCCTCAATTTCATTGCCTGTTGTTAGATTATCTGGTGTTTTTATGTCTTCTTGATTCAGTTTTAATAAATGACATGTATCTACAAATCTATCCATTCTTAATTTCATTGATTGCCTCAATTTCATTAATTTATGTTCTGATCCTTATAATAATCTTCCTTATACTAGTTTTAAATTTTGATTGTTTTTGTTTTTTAGGATCTTGAGGTACATCATTAGGTTATTTATTTGCACTTGCTCTGTTTTTCCAATTTAGACATTCACAGCTATAAACTTCTCTTAAGACTTCATGTTATCCCATAGGTTGTGGTATGTTGTGCTGGCATTATCATTTGATTACAGGAACAAATTTGATCCTTGATTTGTTCTGTGACCACTTATTATTCAAGAATGTATTGATTGATTTCCATGTGTTTGAATAATTTCTTTTGCCATTGATTTCTTGTTTCATTGCACTGTGATCTGATAATATGCATGAGGCTAATTTGATCTTTCATATTTATTTAAGCATGCTTTACGGGCTAGTATGTAGTCTATTTTGGAGAAAGTTCCATGTGTTTCTGAGAAGAATGTATATTCTATTATTGGGTAGAACATTCTGTAACATTTATTAAATCAATTTTATGAAGTGTGACTCAACTCTGATATTTCTTTGTTGATTTTTTTGTCCAGTTAATCTCTTTGTGATAATAGGATATCGAGGTCCCCCACTATAATTGTGCTGATGTTTACTTGGTCATTTATATCCAGTAGCATTTGCTTTATGAAGTAAAATATGCCAGTGTTTGGAGCATATATATTTATGATTGTTATCTATTCCTGTTGCATTTTGCTGTTAGCTAATATGCAATGACCTTCTTTGCCTCTTCTGATAAGTTTTGACTTAAAGTCCACTTTGTCTGAAAATAGGATAGCTATTCCTGCTTATTTGGGGAGCCCTGTTGCATGGAATATTGTTTTCCATCTTTTGATTTTTAATCTTTGATTTTCTTTTTGTATTAAATGTGTTTCGTATATAACACACCACTGGGTTTTGTTTTTTAATTCAATCTGCCAATTTGTCTTTTGATTAGGGAACTGAGACCATTCACATTGAGAGCTATTACTAAAATATATCGACTTATTCATGTCATTGTATTATTTTCTTGGTGGTGATCTCCCCAACCACATCCTTTTTTCCCCTTCTATCAAACTGATTGTGCTACCTAGTAAGGTTCATTCTGTGAGACTTTTTGGGATTGTTCTAGTCTTTGCTTCTAGTCTTTGCTTCACTAAATTGCTTCAAGTTTAGCAATTTAGTGAAGCCAGGGATGTAACTCAGTGTGAAAGCCTTGATATCTATCTTCAGTATGAGAGAAAGACAGACTCTCAAGGGTCTGGAATCACCCTTCCTGGGCTCAAATACTAATCTGTCATTTACTGCATGACATTGGGCAAGTTCATATAATTTCTCTATCTCAGTTTCCCATCTATGAAATAAAGATGATAATAGTACCTTCCTTCATGTAATTTCTGTGAGATTTAAATGAAGTTTAATCCTTAGAATGGTGCTCGTTATGATTTAAAAATGTGTGCCCCCTCAACAAAGCCTCAAGTATTGTGGGCTTGATCCCCAGTGCAGCTATATTCAGAGGTGAAATGATAGAGGAGATCATAATTTAATGGCATTATTGAGAAGGATGGGAACAGGAAGTAGGGCCAAATTGAAGGGCATGGTTTATAAGGTGTGCTCTTGTGGATTATACCTGGTCCTGAATCTTTGCTTTCTGGCTTTTGCTGTTTCCCTTTCTCTCTGCTTCCTAGTTGCCATGAGGTTAGCAGCTTTCCTCCCCTACTCTTTTCTGCTTCTTGTAGTCAGAGGATTGCAAGGAAAACAGTTATAGTATTTATAGTATTATTTATAATACTATAGTATAATACTAATTTATATTATTTATAATTTATAGTATTATTTATAATGGTCACTCAAGGAGTCAAATACAAAGAAAGTTCAGGAAATCTGTCCACACACCAAGGAATCCAGCTAAGGGACTGGATCCCACAGCAATGTCCTACATGAGTCAAGATGAAGACCTAGGGCCCATGGCAATGCCTCCCATGAGTCCCAACTGGAGGCCTAGAGGTCACAACAATGATGCATGCAAGTCTGTTTCATGGATCTGGTTGGGAAGGTCCCAAGGTCAGTGGTGGAAGCTAGAATGTCTTTTCCAGCGGGATGAAGGATCTGTGCCAGTAGGCTGAGGGTTCTGCACTAGAGCCAGGAAGCAGTGCTCAAAATTAGAACCAGAGCTCCTCCAAAAAGTGTCACAGCCATCCTCAGTGACAATGATGTCCTGAGCTCCTCTGATGATGAGAACAGCCACATTCATACCAGGAAGCCAGAATGACAAACTTCTGGATATTTAACAGCACATCATCTTCCCCTTTAGAGACAGGAAGCGTGCTCAAAGTAAGGGCCAGAACTCCCCCAAAGTTAACTGTAGCCATTTTCAGTGACAACAAGGTCCTGAGCTCCTCTGATGATGAGAACAGCCAAGTTCATATCAAGGAAGAAGTTCAACAGACTCCTCCAAGAGAGCCCATGACAACAGGAGAACCAACAGCACCAAACAACAACAACCACTCTTCCTCTCCAGGTCTCCTTTTTATGTTTTATGTAACAATGCTCAGATGGGCCATCTACACTCAGCATGATGCTAATTCAGTTCAGCTGGTTTGTAAGTTCACCATCAATTTTCAATCTACCACACTGTTATAATATTTCTGCCTTAGAGCCAGCAAACTGTGGTTGAAACCTGTGAAATTGAACCAAATAAAACTTCCCTCCTTTAAATTATTTGAGGTTTTTTTCACAGTAATATAATGTGATAATTTGCTGTTGTGTCAACTGAGGAAGAAATGCATAGTTTGGTTGTGACTGAATTGACTTACTGAATATGAAACATCGACTCATCAACAGTGTGAATGGTACCACCAATAGACTTGTAGGGAGTTAGAAACTAGGAAATTACAATATACTCTTTTGCCAAATATAACTCTTTTCCAAAAGGAAGAGAAAAAGGAAGGCTTGCTTCTATTTCTTTGGAGGGTCTCCAGTCTTCATTTTACCTTAGCTATCCACCTCTTAGCTTCCAACACAGACCCTTCAGCCTTCTAGTGAAGATCTTTTACCCTTCCATTGCAGACACAGGTGCTACAGTAACTGCCAGGCCAGGCTTTCTACCTTTAACTGTATCATTCGAATCTGCAGCAGACAGACAACCCTTTTGACTCTTGCACACCTGACTGCAAGTGGCATTGTAAGGAATGTTTATTACATCTGTTTCTCCAGTGACCACTGACTGATACGTGGAAAGCTGACTAACATAGCACTAGGCAGGTAATAAGCTATATTTTAACATTAACGAAAATCTCAGTGAACAGATCCTTATGGAAGTTTGAAAAATTGGCACTTAGGCAGCAAAGTTTAAAAGTTGAGGTTTAAATGTTTATTTAGAGCTAAGGTCTCTAAATAAAGGCTAGGGGGTATAGCTTAGCATGTAGCAGATCCTGGGTTCAGTTCCTTCTAAAAGGGGGAAAAAATCAGTGCTTAATGTGAAATCTTTTCCCTGCCATGGAGAAAGAATTTGTGGATCATATATTAAAATTTTAATCTTGGGCTAGAAGTATAGCTAGTGGTAGACTACTTGCCTAGCATGTGAGAGGTCTTGGGTTCAATCATCAGCACTATAAAACAATAAATAAAAATAAAAAGTTGAATCTTAAATCGAGGTATAGTGGTAAACAACTGTAGTCCTAGCTACTTGAGAGAATCACTTGAACCCCTGAGCTCGAGATCAATAAGAACTTGATTTGTTTTTGAATCTTGATCTAGTCTGATTCATGGTATTGAAGAAACACCCTAAGATTCTTCCTTGGGGAAACCCAAACCTTCCATACCCTAGAATTTGTCCTTACTTTGCTCCCTGTATCATCTCTTAGGAGGCTGTATCTTGTAGTGAATGAATTTACTTTGGATCTCAGACTTAATTTCTACTAAGGAAATAATGTATTTACTTTTTTTGCCATTATATTACAGAAGAGTATATTTTCTTAGTTTCTAAACCTCTATATTTGGGATTACAAAATTATATTTATCTATTTTCCTCCTTTGTGTTCAACTGTGTACAAGAATTTGCAAAAATTTTCTTGGTCTCAGACTTCACATTTGCTCTATGTTTTCACATTCCCTATACTATGGCTATTATAAAACAAAACAAAACAATTCATAAACAATGCATGAGTACGTTTTTTAAAAAATTTTGTCTTGGGGATCAAACCCAGGGGCAATCTACCATTGAGCTATATCCCCAGTCTTTTTTATTATAAGATGGAAAGTTACTAAATTGCCCAATGTGACATTAAACTTGTAATCTTCCTGCCTGTGTCCTGGCTAGCTGGGATTACAGGGATGTACCACCACTCCTAGCAAAAGGCATTTTAAAATTACTTAAACATCACAGGAAAAAGATTTAGTATTTTAGACTAAAATCGGTACTTTCCAAACCAACATCAATATCCTAACATGTGAACTATATATAATACGTAGTTTTTCCCTAGAGCTCATTACATAGTGCTAGTATTATGGTCTTTTACATTTTTGACATTTATTCCATAGTTGCCCTTGAAGAACTTCATTTAAAATCAAGCCAAAAAAAGGAGACTATCTCACTAATTTCAGGTTGCTAGGCAACTATTCTACTACATCTCTTCTATTGCTTACGAGGTGTGGAAAGGGTGGCAAAATATATTTGATTTTTATGTACCATATAAATGATTTTTTTCTAAAACAATCATTTCTAAGAAAACTATTTAATTTATAGGATTTATATTATTTCTCCAAGCCAGGTTACTATTTTTTACTTTAGCCTTATTAAGATAAATAAAATTAATAATTTAGAATTTTAGTTTAGAGAAATGTCAGTGTATACCTTCATCCTAAATGAAGTTTGTCTTAAAACTACATATCAAAGACAAATATTTTTCTTTTTACCTCCCTAATTGGTATTCATATTTGACACTTTTGTGACATTTTGACACATTTCATAAGTTCAGAGCTGCCAGCCCAGAGCCTCAGAACCAGATTATTTCCACTAGGGAAACTTGCCTATAATTATATATATTCAGTTTACGAACATTGCTTTAATATGTGATCAGAAAACCACTTATAGATATATACTTTTCAACTCATATGTTTACTTCTTAAAACAATAAATTTAAACTAAGGATCTGGCAGAAGCCATGCTGGGACTAGGAGGAGTACAACAAGAAATCAGTTTGCCCTTGCTGTAAGCCATGCAAACCATGTAGGGCCCAGGAAGACAGAAGCCAGTTCTTCCCATAAGCCACACAAACAGTACAGGGCCCAGGAAGAGAGAAGCCAGTTTGCCCTTCCTGGCAGCGGGCTGAGAGTCAAGAACTGCCCTCTGCACCCCATAAATAACCAGCTGATCCAGAGGACAGGGTGAGTTGATAGCAACAGAGGTACAAAAACAACTAAAGGCTTATATGTTTGATTGACTTTGCAGGTCTAAGGCCAGTAGTCTGAGCATCTATTAGGAAGATAATAGTTTGTAATATACCAAATATGAGGAATTTCCTTCTGTTTTGTTTGAAATCCAATATTGTCCTCTCTGTTTTGTTTTGATTTATTGTTTTGTTTTATTTAATATTCTGTTTTGATTGGTTTTATTCTGTTTTGTTTTATTTGATTTTACTATGTCTGATGATATGGACAACTATTGTGAAGGTAACAAGATATATTATGGTAGCCGTTGTTGATTTCCTATTATCCTGTTTGGAAGTTCTGTACCACTTTCACTGTTTTGTTTTTATTGGCCTTATTCTATTTTTGTTATGTTTTATGCTCTTTAAAATAAAAAAATTAAACTAAAAATATGGCTGATAGTGTGGCTCAGTGGTAGATCTGGTGTGTAGCATTTGAAAGACCCTTGGTTCGATTTCCAGGACTACATAAATATATACATACACATACTTATCAACAATGCTCATTATTTTAAGCAGCTAAAGATAAAATTCTTAACTAGTATATAGTCACTTAATTTAAAAGATCAAAGAAGATAAGGCAAAACTCATCTAATCACTTTCTAACCACTTTTCTAAGCTTTATCACATCTCACACTCCTGCCAAATAGTTGCCTGGTGTATTCTTTAATACTCCAGGGAAATTCAGTACTTGGCAAAGTAGTTTTATTTACTTCTTTTTTTTAACATAAAATATGTAAATACTGGTTAAGATGTAGAATCATTCCTACAAATGTTGAGTGTTATTTTATTCCAAAGTATTATAGCTTTCATATGAACACCTAATTTTCCTGCTTATCCACTGATTTTGCTTATGTATCCATTCAGTTATCCATTGTACACCTAATTTTTTTTAACTCAGAATCAAACCCAACTTTGTATTTGCCAGGCAGGCATCATGCCACTGAGCTACATCCCTAGCCCTGCACATCTAATTGACATCTGGCACCAGGATGAGACTACAATAATGAAACTGAGACTTGCTCTTCTTTTTCCTAAAGCTCAAACTTTTTCTTAAGAAGTTTGCTTAAAGCATCAGTGATTCAAAATAGATTAGCATTTATTAATGCTAGCATTACTTTGAAGTTTTTAGGGGTTTGACAAAATAAAGTTTATTTCATACTCCTTTAACAGTGCTAGGTAGGTCTTCTTTGCTGGTGGTCAGTGCTCATTACAAGGGATACTGCAACCCAGGCCTTTTCCATCTAGTGGCTTTATTTCCTGGGGCTGCTAGTTCTTTGCATCTAGCTGGACAAGAGGGGAAGAGAGTATGGAGGTGCACACTCATTTCTTAACTGCCTTGGCTAGAAGCCAGATACAGTTGAGCACATCACCTCCTCAGACATTCCACGGGAAAACTTCAGTTACAGAGCCCCACCTGGGTGGAGGATCTGTCATATGGAAAAGCTTATGGAGAGGTTTGGCCATCTCTGCTACAATATCCAAGGCTTTTGCATAACTTTTTCAGCTCTGAGTAAGGTTATTTCAGTTTCAGTCAGTCATTGCTGGGATTGCTCATTTCTGCCTGACACTTACACATACTTGCTTTAAGTCTTCAGAGATTCCCTTCCTCTATCTACATTTTATATAAAAATA